CCCAAAATAAACATCTCAAGTTTTTTTCTGTAAGGTGAAAATAGGGAAGATTCATTTCTCTCACATGTGCCTTGGAACCTACTCCATTTACTATTTTGCCATTATAAATTGATTCTTGGCAATTTATATACTAGTGCTGCAGATGCAAGCAATTTTCAGGTAAAACAAAAAATTTTCAGTCATTCTTGTGACTGCAGTGTGGAGGAAAAAAAAAAGTGATTCCTTGGAAATTATATTTTTGGGAGTACCACTTCCCAACTCCTCCTGAGGACGGATTTAATCTGGCAGAAGGGTGACTTCAGCAGCGGTGCCTGCTTTAATGTGCTGTCTAATTAGTCATGAGACCTAGTTTTCTTTCTGGCAAGCAGTAAATAAGCTTGGGTTTATTTCTGGATTACAGGATAGTTGTTGAAACAACCATTAGAAAAATGGTTTTGATAAACTTTTCTTTGAAAACACCCTTATGTTCTGAGAACAACAACCCCGTGGACTTCCAGGCAAGTGAGGCAGGAATCCAGTGCAGAAGAGAATTATTGGTAATGCAATAATTGTGTGGTGATCAAGAACTGTGTTGCCCACACAAAGAATTGGACCAGCTGCACAAGCCTCATTCTGGCATCCTTAAATCCTGATGTTCACCTTTGATAAGAGAACAGTTACGTTTGTGTGTAATAACATCCTTTAAGATAGAAGCTGAAGGTGAGTGGGATAAATAGGGTAGGGTGGGCAGCTGTGTGCTGAGTGTGGGACAGAGAAAGGTAGATAGTGGTGGTCAGCTGTGCTTGCAGAACAGCATCCCATGCCACGGAGGCTATGTATATCCTGATTTTAGCATTTTGAAGATAACGTGTTGAATCAGTGGTGTCTCTTCTTCTAGCGCCTGTTTTAGGATTACTTGTTTGCTATTTGCTAAGACCTGTTTTGGTTTTTTTTGTTGTTGTGTTTGCTTTTCTTAACAAGCACAGAAATAACAAGAGCTTCTCTGTTTCTCTGCAGCTTTTACGAGAGTTGAAGCACCCTAACGTGATTGCATTGCAGAAGGTTTTCCTTTCTCACAGTGACAGAAAGGTTTGGCTGCTGTTTGATTATGCTGAACATGATTTGTGGGTAAGTACAGATTTTCCTGAGTGTTTGAGGTAGTGTAATATGAGCTTGTTCAAACTGAAGTGTGTGTGGCGTGCCTTCATATAGTGCAGAGATGCATAAATTTCTTGATCTTAACTCTTCTTGACCTTCTTGACCCTAAATTAAGGGTCTAACTAACATCCTGTTCTTTGTACGCCTTAAAACCTGCAAAAGGCTATGTAGAATTTTTTAAAGTCAGATTTCATTTTGAAGCTAAAAGAATTTTCCTACAAGCTTTAATTGGAGTTAAAGAAATTGAGACCACCTAAAATAGTTTGGAAATGTATTTAATATTTTCTTTTTCCTGCAGTTTTACACACACACACCCCCACACCCCAAAAAAGGAGAGGGACTGCTTTACTGAGTCCTCTCACTGAGATATAGTGGATGTGACCAACATTCAATTATCTAATTCTAAACAGTGAATTTGTAACAGTATGAGTGGAAAGAAAATTAGAAAAAAAAGCAAGCACTGCTAATTGGACCTACTGATGGACTGTCACTATGTGGAAGAGGAGTAGAGACTTAGATGTCTGTTTTTAAGTTTCCAGCAAATATGATATGATTTGATTTAATTATTGTAGAGGTGGACATCAATGACACCATGAGTTGAACTCAGATACAAATATTCAAGCTCCACACCTATTGATAAGATGTGAGTTGCTTGGACCTGGATTTGTGTTTAAACCCAAAAGATATCAAACAGAGTAATCAATATGTTTGTAATTCCTTTGAAAATACTGGCAAGGAGAGGAAGTGGTAATATTAATTCCAATATTACTTTTTAAGGCTTCAGTAATATAGAAGTTGCTATTACTAATGTTAGTGACAAATTGCTCAATTTTTTTTGTACTTCATAGAATCATAGAATAGTTTGGGTTGGAAGGGACCTCTAAAGGTCATCTAGTCCAATGCCCCTGCTGTGGGAGCCCCGTCCAACCTGACCTTGAATGTTTCCAGGGATGAAACTTAGCTCTCAAGACACAAAATTGTAATCTGGAAGGAAAGTAAACTTAGACCATACAAAAAGATATTTCTGGCTCAGAACAAGTAAAGTCATGGTAATTCATTCCCCTTCATATGCTTAAAAAATATTTCATTTGATTTCTCTTGTGGGGTAGCAGCTTTGTATTTTAAAAGTTTTCTTCATCAAAGTTCAGTGTACACTGAGAGTTTGTATATTTCTCTCAACTGGTGACAGTGATGATGAACAGGAATGCAGCAGCTAAAACCCTGTATGGACAGAATTTATTTGTGCATCAATTGAGTTTACTCATTTTGTAGAACAACCACAACAAACACATTTTACTGCTACATTGAAAAAAGATGTTTTAAACATGCCATTCTAACCTTTTCCATTTGAATTTATTTTGGGCATGTGGTTTTTACACTACATGGTGATTTTTCACATGATTTAACAGCTTTAGATAAAGAATCACTGCAGTCTAATGTTCTTACCACTCCAGACGTGGTATTGGTATTGACCTGGGTATTGGTCAAAATCTCAGTGAAGTTAATTCTTTTCTATTATTTGAGACCGAAATGTTTGTTACATTAGTTATTTGATGTGAACCGGTCTCCCACTTCCTAACTCTCTCACTTTTTTTTCTATGGGACATGCTACACGAATCATTTCTCCTTTCCTGTATAATTGCCCATGTTTCCTTGCTTCTTAAGCCTTTGCCAGGAATTCTTTTTTCCTCCCTTGCATAAAGTTAGCCATGTTCAAGGCACTCTTGGTTCTGGCTTAACCTTGTTCCTCATTTGCTTTACCGTCAGCACTTCCCAAGCATCGCTCTTAATTCCCCTTTTGTCTCTTTTGCTCACTCCCAACTTTGTGTCTTTTTCCACGCTGCCTCCTACACATGGAACAGTCTCCCAATTAACGTACGTAAAGATCCTTCACTATCCTCCTTCAAAAAACTCCTGAAAATCCACTTACTTTGTAACGCATTTCAGTAATAACAACCACTTGTCATTCTGTCTGTGTTGTGTTGTGTTTTGCATTTCCTGTGCTTTACAGCTTGTGCCCTTTCAGCTCTTTGCGGTAGAAATAGTAGTAGGGGACTGGCACATTTTGTTATTGCTTAGCACCAAGTGCTCCCCCGGCACTACGTAAAAACAAAATAAGTCTCTTCATTGTGGATATCAGTTTAGAAGGATTTACGTTTGGGAATTGTAGATGTGCTGTCACTAGAGCGATGTAGATTCCCAGAGACCAATGGTTTCAAATGTAGGTAGCATAGAGTGAGTTACCGAAATTTGGCTGTAAGTATGGGAATCGTCCTTCTGTTCAAAGCTGCCCAGCTTCAGTAACTCCTATTGGCTTCAATGAGAAGAGTAAACACTCATCACTTACAAACATCAGATTAATTAAAATCATTAAATTTTCGGCTTCTGTATGGGAAACATTTGGCAAGAGATGAATAAAACTATATTAGATGCTATCTTATTTTGTTCATTTTGTAATGTTGAAAAAATTGTCCTGTTCTAATGAGGAAAAGTGATGGTGCCAATTAAGCTTATTAAAAAAGTTCTTTTATGGTGAGTAAGAGCTTTTTTTTTTACTTTGCATTTAATTCCCAAGGATTTAGACTGGTCAAATCTGTGATTTGAGTATAGATAGCAGCATACTTTATAATTTGCTGTAACTTCTGTTGATGCCATTACCAAGGGATGAAGAAAGCTATGCTAATTTGAACTACTTTTGACAGGTATTCGTGAAGGCTTACTATGTTGTCCTTGCCTACAAACATATTCCCGTTTAATAACTAAGCCTATCAAAGATTTTTCCTTCATCACCTCTGAAGTTATGTTATACAAAACGATGCAAAGCCATTCATGAGATTACAATAAAGAATGTCTAAGAATATAGCAATTCTTTTGACCAATTGATTTACAACTCTTGTTTGCTTTAATTACCAAAATTCTTAGTGGAACCCACAAATGATTTCCTTATCATTTTTCTTGGCTATTAGTCTCTGTCAACTGGTAAAGTTCTTAGGCTGTTGGATGTGCCACATATGTTAATTTATAGTGTATTGTCTACACTGTCATCACTGCTTATATATATGCTCATACTATGAAGTAAATGCAAGATTCCTTAGCTTGTACCTCAGTGTAAAAGGAGCATCTGAAGCAAGCTTAAAAATGCGTATGTCCACAGATGCCATTGAGTATCTCATACCACATTATAAGCCACATCCTTTCTTAATTCCTGGTAACTTGCTTCAGTCTCACACCTTTATATTGCAATTGTCTGAAACTTTCAGCTTCAGATGTTCGTAGCCACAGAACCATCTCCTGTTCCTTCTCTTGTGAGGGACATTCCTTTTTCAATGTCTACTCCTAAGGTCTTGGATGCTTTTAATCCAAATTGTATCCAGGTTTCCTGCCTTGATTAATTTATGTTGAAATAAAAAAAGTGTAATTCAGTTAACACGTAGCTGAGTTATCTTAAGTCCGTGAGTGGAAGTGATACTATTTTTAAGTTACCTTTTCCAGTACATAGTTAGAACTTCATAGTCTTACAAACTATGCATGGATGAAATCTTTCCAAGAAAAAGTGTAATTCCTCCAACTGATATGTGTATTTTTCCGCTATGTTCATTTTTGACTTTAAAAAAGAAAAAAGGTTGTTTTAAATGCATACATTTTTGCCAGTTTATCAGTAAGGAATAACTTATTTTCCTATTCATGTATGTTCTTATTTTACTTAAGTTGTATACTGCTGTCCAGAACTTCCTATTTAAAGCTCATGCGCTTTAAGGCATTATTCAAATTTATATTAAATACGTTAAATGCATGATGATTACTTAATTGGACTTTAAGAAAAGTTTGATGCAAATGAGATCGGCTCTGGAGGTGAATTCTGTTTGTTGTCAGTGTAGTTACTTTTAGCCATTGCAGAAGTTATAATACTTAGAGCTTTTCTTTTGTTCCCGGTTACTCTCCTATACTTTTACAGCATCAGCTTTTTAATACTGGAGATATTTTCTAAAGCACACGTTTTTGTTTTTAGTACTGCAGATAAGCATGCATTCTATGTCTTCAATTCCATAGTCTCCATATTTTTAAATAGGATTTTTGATTCTAAGCAACATTTTTGTAACATTTTAATATTCTAAATTGATAGGGTATCTACTTTTCTAGCTATGGTACAGAGTTAATTCTCAGACTCATTTAATATGTGTGTGTAACTTCAAAGCTTTAAGGTCCCCTTTTCTGGAAATCTATGTTGTAACTTAAATCAGAAGCTTCTGAATTTTTTTTAATCTCATTCTGAAAAACAGTGACATTTTTATCACAGTAAAATGTGTTGAATGTGTTTTATAGCCATAAAAAACATTGTTGGTTCTTAATAAGTGATTAAATAAATTATTAACTATGATTTGATAACACTGAATGTGATGATACATTCACTATCCAAGACCAGTTAAACCACGATCTGGGTATTTTTTAGGTTTGGTTGAACGTTTCTCTCTTATTATTAGATTCTAGTGATCTCTAACAACTAACTGCTTAGCAGCAAATACCACTGAGAAACTTGGAGTAAAATTAATCTTGAAATTATTGTTGATGATAATAAAAATATATGGACAGACTGGCTTTGTATTATATGAAACACTTGTTATGTATATATTCTTCTTTTTAAAAATGTAGGATAGAGATTATAAGCATAGTCATGTGTACCTAAAAATAATCATCAAATAATGGAAAGAAGAAAATACTCTTCCTACATGTGAATTTTGTAACACTAGCTGACTCTCTCAATATACAAATAAATATACTTAGTTTCAGCTAATGACATTTTGAATAATGTTTTTATATGCTAAATGAAATTGTGAGGGTGTTGCATACTGATTTGTGCCATAAACCTGCACGTTTGTTTAATCACATGAATGTTTTCTAATAGATCTGAGTTTTAAAGTCTTCCTCAAATATGATGTAATCAGTTATAATTCTTTCTTCCACTAAGCTTC